AGATATTGTATATGTTGGAGTGTCACTACGCCTTTTTGCTTGTGGTGAGATGACTAGAGGAGGATTTTGTAAGACCTTTTGAATAGTTAGAGCCCTTCACAATGATATTGTAAAACTCACCAATATTTCCAAGTATTTCAATAATACTTAACTTCTTAACATCTGCAACTTATCTAAGACCATTCGTCTGAATTTTTCAACATCCAAAGTTCGTTTTAAAAAGAAAACCTGTAATTTCTTGCCCATCCACTTAATATAAATTAATCAGATGGAAACGAGACACGCTGTGCCACACTTTATATTAACTAGCTGCAAATTTGCTTACTATTCTAGTCACATAAGTCTTCTGAGCCTAACATCCCAGTATTGTGACATTATAAAAATTCACCCACTTTAATGTACAGAAATATCCATGAACCTCAAATTATTGTACTATAATGCTGTCAAATAAACAGACTACTGGAATTCAATTTCCAGAAAGCCAAGGCAAAAACTACTGCCCTTAATCTGAAATACCAGTGTCATTTTCAAGCCCTGTATTTAATTAATACTATTTACTGTCAAGAGCCAAGCCGGGTAAATATTTCACTCTTCCCAATTCAGGGGCTAAAGACAGGCCCAGAGGAAAATCTGCCCAAGTAAATGCATCTCATCTTCTCTGATGATGCAAGTGCTCCGTTGTCCTGTTCTTGACCCCTCTAGAATTCCCAGGCTCCAATACTGGTGGTACCATGTCATCAATCTATATTTAAAATATATATTGATTTTCCACGGATGATAATGACAGCTATTTCTTCTGCAAATGCTTATATACTATACCTTTGCCCATATGAAAAGGTTCTATCAAGGTAAAAAATGAAAAAATCTTAGCAAAGCCCATTACTAAGTCAAAACCAATATTTAAGAAGTGAATAAAATCAAGTTAGCAATCTCATTTCCTAAATATTTTTTATTTATCTCACTGAAACTGAAATGTTTAAAATAATCTCCCAGGATATAGCTACACACAAAAGGCAAGCTTCAATCAATTGAATGGAAGTGTTTTCAACAGTCCTGGATATATAGGAAGTTTGGTTCCATCAAATCCGTAAAAAGTTCACTGACAGAGCACTCCATTTAAATCCATTCACAGTAATTAATGAGTTTTACATATTTAAGAATGGTTTACTGCAGATTTAGAATAAATTTCAATGTTGTGGCCTCAAAACTATGAAAATACTTTAAAACTGCTTCCATTATTAACAAATCTAGTTCTGCTAGTTGCAAGCATGATTAGATTTCTCTACAATACCCTCAATTTTCATCAGTTTTAAAGGAAATGCAATATATTACATTTGTGTAAATTTCAGCTTTTCCACAAAATAAAACCTAAAGATTTCCATAAGCTCCCATTTCCATGGGGGGGGGGGCAAAATCTGTGGGGTGCAATTGTATAAATCTTAATAGATGCTCATTTCTCAATACATTTGTTCTCATTGTACCACCCACACAGAACTTCACTCTCAGATTAGGAGTATCATTTTAACACTCATTGCATTAAATTCACTATAATCAAGCATACACTTTTACAGGCATCTTTATAGGCAATTCATGTTAACTAATGTTGCTACTGAACAGGAGGGACTGAAAACAGAAAAATCTGATCATATTTCATGCAAAACACAACTCTCCAATTTCAAGGTCTAGGAATGGGAACACATTCCCTTTATTTATCACAAACCAATTCGACACAGATTAAATACCCCTCACAGATCCCTCTGCAATTAAGACGACCTGATTCAGTAAGACTATCCACACCTGTCATCAATACCTGTACTTTATTTCAGGTATTCCAGAAACACAGCTCCTGTGGGAATTAAGGTGCTCTGAACTCACTCCAGGCCACTAGGTAGGCACCATCCCAGCATGGCTTTGCATGCTGATAGAAATGAGCTCGCTCTCATTCAGATTTGACACTTGGAACCTACTGTAGGTTCCTCACTTGCATCCTTTAACTAATACTGAAGGCTCTTAAAACTCATTTCAATATAAGGCATTCTATTTTCAGTATTGCACTTTATTTTCCGACAGCATTCCATTTACACACACATGTATTAGGAAGACACAGTCAAAAATGGGACATCGGTCAGAATTTTCTTTATCTACTCCTGCTGTAAACAACAATAAGGAGTACTATAACTCAGAACAAACAGGCACACAAATATTCTCTATCACACTTGACACTAACTACAACACAAACGCCAATGAAATCACTACAAAGTTAGATTGAAACAGACTTTCCAGATCCAGAGCAACAGAAAACTGAGATTTCTCTAATCTACGTTCTTTTTGTGCAGAGAAATGTTCCTTACAAAGCAAGCAAACCATTTTATGGAAAAAGAAAAGGAAACAGAAAAAAACACAAATGTTCTGACTGAAAACTTTTAGACTAGGAACTAAAGCTAGTATTTTTATCTTTTTTTTTTTTTTTTAAAGTCTAAACTTCTCACCATGCTAATTGCATGGGTTTTTGGTAGCATACAGCAGCTAGTTCCCACCACTGCAACTAACAACGTTCCAAGGAAGCAGCCACAAATTGTCATTTACATTATTTCTTATCAGTCCATACACACATATTCTAAAGCCATTTAACCAGTCCAAGATTCACACTCTTATCTGTTATATCATATAAAAATAGATCCAGTAAGTATTGAGCAGTAGTTTCACTTTCAAAAAAACTTAATACAGTGGTAGACAGGCTGAACACGCACAATTTCAGTCACAGTGGTGGTACAGTCTTGCAACACACAGTCAAACCCAACACCTATTCCACAAGCAATTCCAGTCAAAAGCCAAGGCCAGGATTTCTTAAATGAAACTCCAGCTGATATATCCTTCAGATGCTAGTATAATTTCAGATGGCTATACTGGTTAAAATAAACAGCTACACCTCTCTGATCTTGTGATGGAAAAGGTGAACATCTGAGTATGTCAAAGATAGGACTGAAATCCTGGACATTCAGAAATCAATGGAAGAATTTCCAAGGATTCAAAGGAACCAAAATTTGAAACTATTCTTTGTCTTATGCAACTTACTTTTGCTGAACTATCACATGAACACATGGGTAACTACCCACTTTAGAGCAAAAGGATATTTTGAGTGGAGAACTACCTCTCTACTTCATCCTTGCCCTCTAAATCCTTTCACGACATTCATTTTTTACAGTGGTTTCTTCCTCCCTGTCATCACCGTAGACTTCATATACAAACATTTCTCTCTTATTTGCTCTTATTAAAGGTCTTGAACTTCTCAAACACAGCAACTATGTTTTAGTCAGCATCTGTAAAGGTACTAGTTTACTTTCTGGCACACTAACAACCAAATTTATAATGTTGGTGCAGAATGTAGCAACACTAAGCAACAGAGAAGGGTTGGTTTTTTTTCCCCACATACATTAATTAGGAAAAAAAACAATTATATGCAAATTGCTTTTATTTGAATATTTACCTTTCCCAGCCTTTACCTAATGCATTCCTTTTTTAATGGAAAATTACAATTGAGACAACTGAAAACATACTATCAACTTGACAACAAAATTTCATGTTCACTTTGGAGAATTCTGGCAGTGACTAGAAAAAAAAATATTTTGGATTCTTACGATTTCCTTTTTTTGCTTAAATGATCACAAAAGCAGCTTATTATTGAGAAGACCTGCACGTGCACATTATGATAATCACAAACCCCAAATAAGTAGTGTAAATAAATAATAAGTAACATAGTATAAGTAATAAGTGTAAATAAGTAATAACATCTATGTGGCTGAGCATTTTCAAGTTAATATAATACATAAACAAACTATTAACCAGTATTATAAACTTCACCAAACGCAATGAACTACAAGTTGTTTTATCAGTACAGCAAAGGGAAAAGGCAGAAAAAAACAGCAGCAGTGGAAAGCTTCTTAATCTGTTTTCATTCACTGATGCTAGAAAATTCAGTAAGTTTAAAGAAAAGCATTATTAGTTTGCAAAAATTGCTCAACATAATTAACAAAAGGGGAAATGATACTTGATGTGGACATACATAATTTTACCCATAAACGGTTGGCATTTTATAAACAGTTATCCCCCAAACAACTAAAAACCTTTTCAGTGGGCTCATTTCCCACCTCTATATTTAGCACGCAAGCCTCAAAAACACATATTTCTGACCTTAATAAGTCACTCCACATGTTAAAAGACAACATTTATTCATGAGTACCCTGAAAAGGTTCTCACATAAAATCTCAAACACATATTTGTAAAAGATTTAGACCAAGTGAGTATATTGATATATTAAACATACCTAAAATAAAAACACAGCATTTATATTCTACTTTCTTGCACTGCACTACCAAACTATTATTAGTCTGCATTTAAACAATCCGCAGGGGTCCCTTTTTCTAATTCTCAGCGGTATTATCCCCTCTTGTGAGCAGAGTTAAACAGGCACAGCACTGCCTGATGGAGTCATCAGACAGTAATTCTTGAGCAACAAGGATTTTAAGTCATCAGTGTCATTATACCAATTTCAACCCTCAATTTAAGTAATTTATTAGTGCAGATAGTTGGATGGAAAAGCTTGTATTATTTCATACTCAACCTTTGCCATACGACAGACCATAATCAGCACATTTGAAAAAATGTCAATTCCTTAGTTACAGTATAAAATATCAAACAAACTTAACGTGAAAGAATATCACATGCTGATCCCTTCAGCCCTTCTCAGCAGAGAGTCCCATTCCTGGTCCTGGCACTAAAGCAAGGTCCCTGCTTCCATAACTAGTCTGGGCATTATTTTTGAAAGTCTCTAAAATGTTTGTATTTTGACTCACTGTATAATATCATACATTACTTAAAACCAAGGCTTGTTCTGCTGTATCCGCACAAGCAATTTATGGCATCTCACACCAAATTCCCCAGTGAAGAAGATAAAACTGTAACACAGTCCAATTAAACACAATAGGATATAGACAACTCACCAAGACTCAGCGAGGCGGGCAATGATTTCTACGGGCTGTGCATGCAGCGGGCCTCACTACTCAGATACATCTCAAGCGTGCTAGGAACAAAATTGAGAGAAAAATATTAGCCTTTTTTTTGGAGACAGGCATAGAAAAATAAGATGCTTAGCACATCGCATTTTTAAGCATAACACAATGAGGGAAACATAAACTTTGCAGAGCATTATCTGCTTTTCCAGACATAACTACCACCCCCTTCTAGTTGCGCAATCACTCCAGGCACACAACTTCCTCTCTACCTGCTGCCTACTGCAAATACACAGTGATAGCAACTAAGATGTTTACATTAACTTACACCGTACACAGCCTTTATTTTCACAAAAGAATCTGTGGGAACCCTCTGTGAAAGTGGTTGGTTCCTTTTTTGGTTGACTGCTTGGCTGGTTGACTTTATAACACGTTAGTTTCAAATCTCTAAAAAGGAGAAACTGATGTTCTTATAAAATGTCTTTCAACCATTATTAAAAGTTGTATGTACAGAAGCATGTTTCTTCTCTGAATCTCCACTTACAACACTCCTGACTCGAGTGACGATTACCAGTGGACAAATAAATTGAAAGCTCTTCATTAGTATAGAGCTTAAGAGTCCAGTAGAGCAGAGGACATACATTGCACAGCAACACACATTTCTTCAGGGAAGAGGAGCATGCCACTACCCACATAAATATTATACCTGCATTTCTGTTTGTAGGTCAAACAGTAGTTTATGTCAAATGTATCCAAGCAAGCTACCAAAGAAGAGTTTTCTATGTTTTTATTCTGACAAACAAAAAGGTAGAACATAAAGAAAATTAAAGATACACTACAAGAGTCATCAACAGAAAAAAAAAAGCACACTAATTATGCCTCAAGAGAAATGGAATTTAGAAACAACGCAATTCTTTCTGTCGTTTCTGCCATCTCACAGAAACCTTCTTCAAACAAACTCTGCCTAAGTATTTTCAATCACAGGCAGGATACCACTACAGTAACAGGCTATTCAGGGGCACCACTAACAAAGAAGTATTCTTATATAAAATATATACACAGAAGATAGGAATACATTATTTCCTCAGGAATG